GTGAAACCCTGTCTCTACTAAAAATACAAAAATTAGCTGGGCGTGGTGGCACACACCTGTGCCACCAGCTACTCAGGAGGCTGAGGCAGGAGAATGACTTGAACCCGGGAGGCGGAGGTTGCAGTGAGCTGAGATTGTGCCGCTGCACTCCAGCCTGGGTGACAGAGCGAGACATTGTTTAAAAAACAAAAAACAGTAAAAAAAGGAGTAATGGTCTCCAACTCCATCTAAGTTGCTGCAAATGCCATTATTTTGTTCTTTTTTATGGCTGACTGGTATTCCGTGGTATACGTGTGTGTATATACAAATACATCAATATGCAGTAGAGGTGTCTGCAACTTAGAAATGGAGTTTACAGTTGAGTGTTATTTTGCAGAACAATGTAGAGTAAGTCACATTCCTTGTTCATATAACAGACTTTAGTATATGAAACTTCCGCTGCCCTTGAATTTATTTATTTTTCTCACAACTGAACATCCTTAGCATCTACTCATTTTCTTTTGGGGCCATTCTTCTTTTTTTTTTTGAAAATGGAGTAATAATTTACGTAAAATGAAATATACAGATCTTAAGGGACAGTTGGATCAATTTTGATAAATGTATACACTTATGTACCTTCCCTAGCAAGACAAAAAACATTTCCATCACCATACAAAGTTCCCTCATGCTTCTTCCTAATTAATCGCCTCATCTCCATTCACCACCAGAAGCATTCATTAATCTGACTTTCACCATTACAGAATAATTTTATAAGATTACCCTTTTACTATCCTTGGTCCATAGCTCAACCCCTCCTCTTAACCCCTTAGCTGGAATATAGAATATACTCTAGTTTGTTAAAATCCTTCTTAAAACTGGTTATTTGCGGCCGGGAGCGGTGGCTCAAGCCTGTAATCCCAGCACTTTGGGAGGCCCAGGCGGGCGGATCACGAGGTCAGGAGATCGAGACCATCCTGGCTAACACGGTGAAACCCCGTCTCTACTAAAAAATACAAAAAAAAAAAACTAGCCGGGTGATGTAGCGGGCACCTGTAGTCCCAGCTACTCGGGAGGCTGAGGCAGGAGAATGGCATAAACCCAGGAGGCAGAGCTTGCAGTGAGCCGAGATCCGGCCACTGCACTCCAGCCTGGGCGACAGAGTAAGACTCCGTCTCAAAAAAAAAAACAAAAAACAAAAACCAAAACTGGTTATTTGCAATTTGATATGCTAATCCAAATGTAGTTTAAATGATTAAGAAACCGATATTATGTGAAAATGTCCGAGAATCCCACATATGGTTCTACTGACTCATGTGGAGTTGGAGATCAAGTAAAACTTCTATCTAAAAAGAAGTGTTATAAACTATTGCACTTTTGCATTTGTTATATATAGATCTCTCGTTCTCTCTCTCTCTACACACACACACACACACACATACACACACACAGACATATATATATATTTCAGTGAGGGTCTTGCTCTGTTACCCAGGCTGGGTATAGTGGTGCAATCTTGGCCCACTGTGGCCTCGAACTCCTGGGCTCAAGCAATCCTCCTGCCTCAGCCTCCCAAGTAGCTGGGATAAAAGGTGTGTACCAACATGCTCAGCTAAGTTTTTTTTTTTTTTTAAGAAATGGGGTCTTGCTATGTTGCCCAGGCTAATCTTGAGCTCCTGGGCTCAATCTATCATCCTGCCTCTACCTCCCAAAGTCCTGGGATTACTGGCATAAGCCATGGTAGCTGGCCTGTAATATTTTCCTTTTGGACCTAAGTTTAGAATTTTACTTTTATGCTTGTTGATGTTAATCTTGTTAGCTTTGCTTGTTGTTTCAAAGTATTCAGTAATTTTAAATTTTGTAATTAATATATTTTATTCTATTCCTTCTTCCTTTGTGTCATCTGCCAATTTGAAAATCACATCTTTTATATGATCATCAAAATATTGATGGAAATCTAGCACAGGACATAGCTAGGAAAAGAGTCCTAGAATACTGACCTAACTCTAATAACTTACAAAGTCGTGGGTTAACCTAATGCTGGGGGTGACCATGCCTAACCATTCTACTCTACAGCTTCTGCTTCTTCATCTTGCTCCTAATATTATTGATTATATAATTTTAAGACATATCCTTCTGTTTGGATAACATTTTTTCTTCTGTCCATACTTACATCTTAAGTGATCACATTGAGTCCCTTGGCTTGAAATACACCAATAGGCTGACAGGTCCAAATGTATTGCTCCAGCTTGGACCTCTCCCCCGAACTCAGATTTATAAACCAAAGTGCCTACATGACATTTTCAACTGGAATCTAACAGTTACCTCATCAAACAAACACATCTGTTTTTGTGCTGATATTAAAAGAACACCACAGACTGGGTAATTTATAAATAACAGAAATGTATTTCTCACAGTTCTGAAGACCGAGAAGTCCAAGATTAAGGCATTAGCAGGTTTGGTCTCTGGTGAGGGCTGCTCTTTCTTCCAAGATGATACCTTGTTGCCGCATCCTCCAGATGGGAGGAACATTGTGTACTTACATAGTGGAAGACCAGGAGGGCAAGAGAGTTCTTCCTTCCCCTTGAGACCTTTTATAATGGTGCTAAACCCATTCATGAGGGTCGAACCCTCAAGACTCAATCACTTCCCAAAAGGCTACACGTCTTCATGTTGTTGCATTAGGGATTGAGTTTCCACATGATTTTTGGGGAGGACACCGTTATCCAAACCATAGAAACATCCGAAAACAAAGAGTTGATTTCCAGCCCATCCAACCTACACTTACTTTAAAGTTTCCTATTTTGCAAATGATATCTTTGTTCTTCTTGTTCCTCAGATCTAAATGCTTGGAGTCATTTTTGGTCCTTTTCTGTTTCTTACCCTCTTCATGTAATCAAACAGGAAAAACTATGGGATTTTTGGGTTTGAATACACCCAATATTTGGCCACTTCTCAAAAACTCTGCTTCAATAACCCTGGGTCTGGTCACTATCATCTCTTCCACAGATGGTTATGATAACTTCCATTTGCTTCCCTGCCTTCCATATTTGCTTCCTAAGGCCTTTTCTCCACACAGCAGGAAAGATCCTGTTCAAACTGGTCTTGAATAGGTCATTTTCCTCTCAAGAGCCTCAGTGTCTTTGCAACTCAGAGTATAATTTAAAGTCTATAGAAGGCCGGGCACAGTGGCTTATGCCTGTAATTCCAGCACTTTGGGAGGCTGAGGGGGGGGCAGACCACTTGAAGTCAGAAGTTCAAGACCAGCCTGGCCAACATCGTGAAACCCCGTCTCTACTAAAAGTACAAAAATTAGTTGGGTGTGGTGGTGCATGCCTGTAATCCCAGCTACTTGGGAGGCTGAAGCAGGAGAATCATTTGAACCTGGGAGGCAGAGGTTGCAGTGGGCTGGGATTGTGTCACTGTACTCCAGCCTGGACAACAGAGTAAGACTCTGTCTCTAACTAAATAAATAAATAAAGTCTATAGATCCTCCAAGGCCCTCCATTAACTGCCGCCTGCCTCAGCCTCCCTTTTTTTTTCTCATTCTTCCCTGACTGCTCTTGCTTCCACCACTGCCTTTGCTCCAGCCACTCTGGCTTCCTTGCAGTGTGCTTCCAGCTCAGGGCATCATGTCATCCATCCTCCTGTAATATTCCCTCCTGTCCTCATTCCTTTCTGTCCTCTTCCAATATCTGCATAGCTCACTCCCTTGCTTCTTGCCATCCTCTGCTTGGGTGCTCAAATGCATTTAATCAGAGAGGCCTTTCCTGGCCAGTGCCACGCTCATCCTCCTTTACCTGTGACATGGCTGGGATCGGTGTCTCCACCAAATCTTTTGTCGAATAGCAATCCCCAATGTTGGACGTGGAGCCTGGTGGGAGGTGATTAAATCACAGGGGCGGATTTCCTATGAATGGTTTAGCACCATCCCCTTTGATACTGTCCTCATGATAATGAGTGAGTTCTTATAATATCTGGTTGTTTAAAAGTGTGTGACACTGACCCCACCTGCCTTGGTCCTGCTCCTGCTGTATAAGATGCCTGCCCCTGCTTTGCCCTTTGCCGTGAGTAAAAGCTCCCTGAAGCCTCCCCAGAGGCAGATGCCACCATGCTTCCTGTACAGCCTGCAGAACCATGACCAAATAAACATCTTTTCTTTATAATTTACCCAGTCTCAGGTATTTTTTTTAACAGCAATGCGAGAACAACCTATACAACCTGCTTAACTTTGTTCAAGGCGTTATCACCTCCACACATGTTATGTATTTATTTTTCATTCCCTTCTTCTGGAATTTAAGCTCCACTTGAGTAAGTATTTGTTTTCAACTGTTATATTCCCAGGGGCTAAAGTGGTGCCTGAAACATGGTGGGAATTTCATAAATACTTTTTGAATGAATTAATTGAATGGATAAGTCGGTGAATGCTATACCCAGAAGGAAATATTAGGTGAGAAAAATTTATATGTGACATAATGCATAAAAAGATTAGTAATACTTAAAACATTCAAAAAGTTAAAAATTTCTTTGTTATACTTTTTTTTCCTGAAACAAAAAGCTTCTAAATTAAAATTTGGCCATTTTAAGAGTCTAAATCCAACGTATTTGTAATAGAAGACATGATTAGGTATGATTCTCCGATTTCAGGCCATTACAGAGCTAAGCTGGAGCCTGATTTGTTGTGCATTGCCAAGGCACATTTATAGATGGGAGGTGATACATGTACTAGCAAAGACATAGAGCCATATAATTTAAATTATATTTAAATTAATGCAAGAAGAGTCTGAAGAACTCTTCTTTTTTGACACCAATTAGAAGAGAAAGAGGCTTTTAAAGAATAAGCCGTCTGCTGAAGAGAGACCTGTAATTTATTTGACTCTTTAATTCCACATACATTCTCTAGGTTATTTTGACTTTGTTAAAACATAAGGCAAAAAAACCCATAAATGCTGTATAAATCAAGAGCTTAGATTCCACAGAGAAATAGATACAGTGTCTTTCTATTAATTGTAAAAAGCACTTGCCTTGAACAAGTCGACTTTGCTGATGATGCTGAAGTTCACATCAATGGCGAGGGCTAACTGGACCGTAGTTGGCAGGGTCTTAAGCAAATCGGACTCATCTTTGTAAAGATAAACACATCAAACCCCGATGCAGAATAATTAATGAAATAAGTTGCCAAGGTACAAGTAGAAAATTTTTAAAAATAAAGGAAACAAAATGCAAACACTTTTTATACATAATTATATGCATCAGATTCTATATTTTCATTACTTCTATTGGACCTCCATACCTATTACAATAACACTATTATGCTTATGCAAGAAAAGAAGTATTTTTAAGTCTGGATGACGTACTGAATGATTCCTGAACATTATGCTTGCTGAAACTTTAGATATGAAACATAATGATCATAGCACAAAGGCTAGTGAACAAGCCAGCATGGGCAAAGGATCTAGTTCTTGTTTTCTGATTCTATTGATTCCAGCCTTAGCATTCAAGGGATGGCAAATAATAATGAGCACCATGTGGCATTGGAGAGCTTACAGAGCTCTGTCACACCCATTATCTTATTTGACCCTTGTGACAACCCCAAGGGTAAGTGTTCTCATTCCTACTTTGCAGAAAGAAGAAAAACAAAAGAACTGAAGCCCCGAGAAACTGTAAGTGACTTGCTCCATTGTGCATAATTAATAGGTGGCTCAGCTGGGATGAAATCTAAAGAAAAAACGTGCTAAGAGAGTAAATTCAAATTATTGTTATTTACTTGCTTATTATCAATGAAGAATGTGAATACATTACAGATTTTTCTACATGTGAATTGAATGATGGGCTTTCAGGCTGATAAAATGTTCCATAAACAAAATTGCCTATTCTTTTTTTTCCCTTTCTTAAAATCTTGTATTTGAAGTTCAGGGGTTCATGTGCAAGTTTGTTATATAGGTAAACTCGTGTCATGGAGATTTGTTGTACAGATTATTTCGTCACCCAGGTATTAAGCTTAGTACCTATTCATTGTTTTTCCTGATCCTTTCCCTCCGCCCACCCTCCACCCTCCAGTAGGCCCAGGGTCTTTCTGTTCCCCTCCAGAAAATTCCCTGTTCTTAACGTTTAGAATGCCAAGAGTTTATGAGAGTTGATTTTTTTTTAATGTTTTCTTATGTTATTTAGAAAAGAGAAGATTGCTATACTACATTCCTATTTTGATTCAAATATAGATTCTAAACATAAAAATCCGTCACATATAAACAGTTTATTGTTTCCGAGGGCTGCCTCTAGTTGCCTCCTAAGCCAAGGAGTTGAGTCATTATCTACCCTCTCTAAGGGGTGTGAGGGAAGGAGCCTGGCACCACTCCTTTTGTTGCTCTTTCTGCCCACTTCAGATGCCCTCAAGTAGCTGCAGATGTTCTAGAGAGGCATGTTGTTTTGGTCATTCAGGAAGAGATTCTAAACACGAGGCTGGAGTCTCCTAAGAGTGTTAGAAAGGTGAAGAAAAGATCCTACCATAATAACCAGTGGTTTCTGTCTACTCTTAGGAACCTTTGTGATTTGAGAATTTCATTGTAATTTGCACTCTGGAGCATTTTTGGTTTCTTAGTGGCACTAATTCCTATTTTCATATGGTGAGAACAAACTAAAAGTTGAGTTTCATTATTGTCAACTAGCAGTGCATTATCCTGAACTTATTTTATGTCCCTCAGTAACTATTATTTTTAGCTGCAGTAATATAGTGGTATAGTGGTATAGTGGTAGGCACCATTAATTATTTAGCATCTCGTGGAAGCAACTGTGTGCCCTGAGGCGGGGTGGGAGTGGCCTGAAAGGTTGCTGCTTTCCATTAGCACAGGTGACCCTTGAACAACAACAACACGTGTTTGAACTACACAGGTCCACTTATACAAGGGTTTTCTTCCACCTCTGCTACACATGAGAGCAAAGTCAACTCCTTTTTCTCCTCCTCCTCAGCCTACTCAACAGTGAAGATGAGGAGGATGAAGACCTTTATGATGATCTACTGTCACTAAATGACTAGTAAGTAGAGTTCTTTTCCTTATAATTTTCTTAATAACATTTTGTTTTCTCTAGTTTATTGTAAGAATATGGTATATAATACAGATAACATACAAAATGTGTGTTAATCAACTGTGTATATTATCAGTAAGTCTTCTAGTTAATAGTAGGCTATTAGTATTTCAGTTTTGGGGGAGTCAAAAGTTATATGTGGATTTCTTTCTTTTATTTTGAGGCAGAGTCTGGCTCTGTTGCCTAGGCTGGAGGGTAGTGGTGCATCACCACACTCTGCTGATTTTTGTATTCTCAGTAGAGACAGAGTTTTGCCATGTTGGCCAGTCTGGTCTTGAACTCCTGATCTCAAGTGATCTCCCTGCCTCGGCCTCCCAAAATGCTGAGATTATAGGAGTGAGCCACCACACCTGGCCTCAAAAGTTATATGTGGATTTCTGACTGTGGAGTGAGGGTTGGCATTGTTAACCCCCACTTGCACTGTGTTCTGGGTAAGAGAGTAACATTGCAGTAAGAGCAAGGGTTTGGAAGATGCAGGTCTGAGTTCTAATTAGACCATGTGCTGGCTCTGTGTCTTTGGCCAAATTTCTCAGTTAGGAGCCTCCATTCTCTTCCCTTAAAAGGGATAGACAATGCCTAATTTTCCCACCTCCTTTTTTGTATGTGTGACTATATGAGACAATGTGTGTAATAGCCAGCATCCAGAAGATGCTGATTAAAATTTAGCCTTTTCTCTTCCAAGGTTTTCAAAATCAGTAAGATATGGCTTTATATTTAAGGAAAAACAAAACAAAACAAAACAAAAAAACCAAAACAAAACCCTGTAGTATTAAACGAATGACTTGAGGATCATTTAGTTGTTTTTCAACCTTTTGTTCAAATCCAATTAGTCTCTGCTACCTTACAGAATTTTCATCATATGACAAGGTTTACAGGAATTTAATTAGTAATCTGCCATGCTTACCTAACATTCGCTGAGAGTCCCATGTATATTCATACCAAGTGCGCACTCGCTTTTGCACAAGTTTAGGAATGGAGTAATTGTTCATGTAGGCAATGGTATCATCCATGCAGGCGCGGAAGTAGTTCTGATTGGCTGTAGCTGCCCCAATCACATCTCTCATCTAAAACCACAAATACGGTTACTCCACACCCAGCAGAGGAAATGAGTTCATAAAAGTCACATTACATGTTTTCCACATGATATACTCCCTTCTAATGCCCTGATTACTTGATTTTATTCATTCATTTATTTTTATTTATTCTTGCCCAGACTTAACTTTCCAGCAGTGGATTACTTGACTTTAAATACACTGATATTGGGTCCTAATATCACCCACTTCCATAAAATATTGGGCAAATTATATTTTGTCTCTGATCCAATAAGGACAACAATAAGACCTGTAGGACAAACCAAGTGAGAATTCAGCCATGTAATGCATAGGACTGCATATAATCTTCTCTGCAAACTTGTATTTCACTGCAGAAATGTTAGTGTACATTGAAAAAATTATACAGCTGTGCTTATGCAAGGAATGTGCAATAAAAGTTGAGCAATTGTCTGGCAGAATGGCTAGTCCATTTTGGTGAGTCTTACTTTGAATGCATCCTTCATAGATTATCCAGCGTAGCTGGCTATATAGACTCAATTCATCATGAAATTGCAACCTCTGTACTTCCCTTTGTGTTGTTTAGACAGATAAAATCAAATCTCATCATGCTTAAGGCATAGTATTCAGCAGAAGTTGAAATGTGCTGAAATTACTGTAGCATCATCTACTGCTGTGACAATTCTTAAGAAACTGTCAGGTTTTAGTTCTTGGATGTTTATAACTCACCCATAAAAACCCACTCTAGGTTAAAAGCCGATCTTTAAGGTCTCAGCACAGAAAAGATATATAGCTCAACTCTTCCTCTCACATAGAGGGAGGTGAGTGGCTGTAAATATGTTTTGACTGTGGGTTTATAATAGGCAGGAAAACCAGGGCCTCACTTTCACACTCCTAAGACTTTGCTCGTTCATTTTAGTAGCTGTTGAGCCTTTCCTGCTTATGGAAAAACGACTCATTCTTGGAAGTCTAGCTCAAATGCTTCTTTTTAATTGTGATGCCCTCCTCAGTTTCCATTTTTAGAGTCATTAAACTTCTACAAATTAAAACTATCTGTTGAGGAGCTATGCAGTAGTCCAACTGTATATATCTTTTTCAGTCTCTTACTCCTCAGGGGCTCTTCCAAATATTCCTCAACAATCTCAATTCCTAGATCTCACTTATCCATGCTGTTCTTGACTGATAACTTACATTACCTAGTCACCAAAGGCTGGGGGACTTGGTATGTTAGGAGAGGGCTTAGAGATTTAATAGAGTGTTAAGTTGGGAAGCAAGGACTATTAAAAGCATTATTGATTGCTGTTGAGGCTCCAATAATTTGTAGTGACAGTAATTTGAATGGGTTGTGTGATATCCTTCAGCAACGTTGGGTTTTGTTGTTGTAGGAGTTGAGGAGGATGTATATTCTATGATGGATTCCAGGCTAGGGAAGTATGTGAGAGTATGAGAGGAAGAAAAATGTCCGTTTCTGTGAGTTGTGTCAGAAAATAGAATATTGTAGTTAAAATGTGATGATTGGCTGGGTGCAGTGGCTTATGTCTGTAATGTCAGCATTTTGGGAGATGAGGTGGGAGAATCACTTGAGGCCAGGAGATCAAGACCAGCCTGGGCAACATAGTGAGACTCTGTTTCTACAAAAAATAAATGAAGAAAAGAATTAGCCAGGCATGATGCCATGCACCTGTAGTACCAGACACCTGGGAGGCTGAGGTGAGAGGATTGCTTGAGCCCAGGATTTTGAGGCTACAGTGAGCTATGATTAAGCCACTACACCTTAGCCTGGGCAACAGAGCCAGACCCTCTCTCTTAAAGAAAAAAAAAGTGATGGTTAGCTCCAGGGTATAGTCTCCATGTGGGAATTTTGAGTGAGTGGAGGGTTTTGTTTTTGTTTTTGTTTTTGTTTGTCCCAGGCTTTTAAACTTTTATTTCTATCTGTTCCCCTGCTCAGCATCTTTTATTCACTATGACAGTTCGAGGCACACATCTGTATCTCTAGCCTCAATCTTTCTCTTGTGCTCTACGACCACATTTTTAGTGACTTGGTATTCCTTCTTGTTCCTATTGGAACCTCGAATCCAATTTAAAAGCAGATGTGGTGTGGTGTATAAAACAGCGCTTCTCAAACATTTGTGTGTATATGAATCACTTGACGATTTTGTTAAAATGCAAGTTCTGACTCATTAGTCTCAGGTGGGGCCTGAACTCTGAATTTCTCAAGTGCTGCTGCTGCTGCTTGTCCAAAGATTACACTTTGAGTGGCAAGATAATGGAACTGGTGCTAGAAATAGTATTTTAGTTTTGATGTGAAAATCGCCTTGCACACAGTAAGTGCTCAATATGTGTTAAATTTTACTGTTTCTATCAGTGTTGTTATATATGGTTCTACCATATGACCATATGAACTACATGTATGAATCAGGGATGCTTCTTAATCTCTTTAAACTGTAGTTTTCTCATCTGTAAAATAGAGAAAATATTGACTGTGATATGACACCTTCACATTGATTTTATGAGAAATTTTTAAAAAATGTGATTTTTGCGATTTATATTCAAATGGATTTGAATTTAGAATCTCTCAAACCAGCTTCCTATTTTAAACATTGTTAATATAATCTCCCCAGTCATGAAGATAATGATATTTTATACTTACAATTTTTAACTCTTAGTGTTCATCTTCCTAAACCTAAATATTTTCTACATAGAGTTTCCTTTACTACCCCTCTCTGTATTCCATTAACATGTTAAGGCTGGAGCTGCCATATCCCTGTATATCTGTATTAACCTGTTTTATTTTCTATGTTTTGATATGTTAATATCAGGGAACTTGCTGGCTGAGGCCTTGTTTGTTTCTCCCAGGGTTAGGTAATTACTAGAGATGGTGGCCAAATCTCCTGAGAGTGTGTCTTCCATATGTAAACTAACTATCTGGAACCCATATCCCAACTGCCTTCTGCATCAGGTTCTTACATGGGCTCTTACATTCAGGCCACTATCCACCTGTCCTACAAAAAAATTAGCTGGGTGTGGTGGGGTGCAACTGTAGTTGCAGCTACTTGGGAGGCTCGGGTGGGTAGATCCCTTGAGCCCAGGAGGCTGAGGCTGCAGTGAGCCATGTTTGTGCCACTACTCCCCAGCTTGGGTGCAGAGCAAGACCCTGTCTCAAAAAAAAAAAAAAAAAAAAAGAAAGAAAAAAAAATGTGGGCTCTATCCTTTGTCAGTGCCAACTATCTTCAATATAATTTATGTATTTAATTTTTTCTAGACTGACTTTTTTGAGAATAAGTACAAGGAGATGCTATAGTAAACATTTGTGAAACAATAACTTATTATTTTATATGGCATTTTGTAGTCTCTGGTTTAAATGACCTCTGAAGTCAATTATAACCCAGTGATTTTATAAAAATAGTTGAAATTTAAGTAAATAAAAGAGATTTTAATGGTTTTCATTGGGGTCCAAGTAAAAAGTTAACTTAGAAACAACTTTCTCTGAGAGTTGAAACCAATGCTCTTTACTGACAGTCTTTTGATAGATTTAATGGCTTAAAAATGGAAAAGCACTGTTGATCTAATTACATCCTCCTTCAACTCATTAAAATAGAAGAAAGTTAGTTCAAAAAAAAAGAAGAACCAGACAGATTTTAATTTTTCCTCCATAAAGTTTATAAAGACTTCTTAGTCTTTCAAAAATGACAGCACTGTGTATCCAGTGATTCATACTCAACTTACCTGACCAATTAAACTGCTGAACACAAAAACCCCAGAAAAAAAATTCAAGAGTTGAAAAACAATTTCAAATAAAGTTTGTGGTTCTGGAAGGCCACCAATGGTAATTAAAGTTCGAACTGCCCAATAATAACATCTCAGATACCTGTGAAAACAGAAGATACACATTTTGCTTTTTTTCTATATCGCTGAAAGACCACTATTCTTGGGAGAATATAGTACTATTAAATTATAATAACTCTCCTTATATATATAATATAATCAAGATTTTCTTTCTATAGACAGCACTGGCAAACACCATGTGTGCTAACGTAAACTTCTTAATAAACACTGTGAAATGATGAAACAATCCCACGGAGGGTGTTTACTAGCTGTTACCAAAATTTGGTGGTTTAAATAACCACCATTTTTATTAGGCTTATAGTTTTACGGGTCAGAATTTTGTGCAAAGCCCAACAGAGATGACTCATTTATGTTCCATGATGACTGGGCCCTCAGCTGGTATGACTTGAATGGCTGGAGATACCTGGAAAGATTCAATTGAGGTCAAATGTCTGAAACTTTGATTCTGACAGTTGGCCGGGTTCCTCTGTTCCTTTCCACATTATGTCCTTTTGGAATGCCCAAGGTAGCTCCTTACCTCACGTGTCTGAGCCTCAGCTGGTAATATTGGAACAGTTGGGGGTGACTGGGTATCTTTTATCATTCAGCCTCTCAATGTGACTAGCTTGGGCTTCCTCACAGCTTGGACATCTCAAGGTAGATGGATTTTTACATGAGAGCTGGTTTCCCCCAGAGCAATAGCAGCCCAAGTGGTAGCTGCCAGGTTTCCTATAACTCAGAAGCCCTATATCATCTTATAGTTGCCACATTATATTTGTCAGGCAAGTCACTAAGGCCAAACCAGGTTCAAGGGAAGAGACATTTGAATCCACCTCTCAATGAGAGAAGCAGCAAAAAATTTGAGGCTGTTTTTAAACTACCACGCTATTGATTTGTGGGAATATTTTACAGATCAAATGTATTTATGCAGATGGGAGAACCTTCTATAGTTTAGATCCAATTGTTTTTATGAATGGAAAACAGAACAGATGAATATCTCTTCTATTTTTCACCCACATATTATTATATTATTGAATATGTAAACCATGGCAGAGACAGAGGAGAACTGAAATCCATCTTAATAGGGAAATTACTGTTGATTGTAATGGGCAACTGAACTAGAAATTTGGTATTGAAGAAAATCAAGTATGCTCAGAAATGTACTTGATAAAAATTCCGTACTTGAACAATTGCAAATGAAGAGGCTGGGGTCATTACAGACCAGATAGGAAGAGGACGATAAAAGAATATGATAAAGGTTAGTAAAGAATGTATAACGTTCACTTAGCTAGCCAGAGAGTCCTTAACCTATTATGGTTTGATTTTATGATGGCATAAAAGCAATATCCATTCAGTAGAAACCATACTTTGAATACTCATACAACTATTCTGTTTTTCACTTTTAGTATGGTATTCAATAAATTATGAGATATTCAATAATTTATTAGAAACCAGGCTTTGTAGTAGATGATTTTGCCAAACTGTAGACTAACTTAAGTGTTCTGAGCACATTTAAGTTAGGCTAGGCTAAGCTATGATGTTTGGTAGGTTAGGTGTATTAATTGCATTTTTGGCTTACAATATTTTCCCACTAGGCTTATTGTGATGTAACCCCATCAGAAGTTGAAGACATCTGTATATATATTTCAGAATTCTTGTGCAGCCAGAACTATTTGGTAATTCTACATAGCTCTGACAATGTGGTCTGTATCAGGCATTTCCAGTGAATCCGTTTAAAAAGTCATTTATATAGAGAATGTCTCCAGGTTTTGTTATAGAGGGACATTTAGATTTCGTATGTTCCAACTAGCTATTTCAGCATCTTGTGCAGACACAGAAAAGGAGTACTTTTTACAGAATCCTGCCCTAGCCAAGCTTTTATTTCTTATCTAGGTATGCCACATATAACATTAGCACTTTGGGTAACTGGCATTAATCTTGGAACAAGGGTGGTCTTTTCTTGTAAAAATACTTTGAGATTTTAAGATCTTCAAATAGTAAGAAGTTGAAGTTTACAAAGGAAGAAAGAAACTGCAGTTGAAGTTAATATTCAAACAAAAACAGATCTAGAAAGAAATCACTCATTTTGAAATTCAATACCTTTTGAAGGACATAGGACTCTTTTTTTTTTTTTTTTAACCTAGTTCCTTATTACAGGAACAGAAAAAATAATTAACACTTTGGTAGTGCTTGAAAATCGCTATGCCAAGAGAATAAAAATGTTACCACTGTATAATTTTTTTCTAAAAGGCTTCCTTGGACTTACTAATATTATAGTGAACTTGATGTCAAAGAGAACCACCTTGAAGAAGTATGGAATTAATTTTATGGATTGCATTTTAACTTTTCAAATTTCAATTTATAATTTCCTATTACCTGATTTATTTTGGTTACAGGTTTTGGACCTGTGGGTCTCTTTAAATTAAGGAAATTTATTAAACCTGACATTACCCAAGAGTGAAGAGAAATAAGATTCTCTCCCAACATGGTCAATTCCATGATAAGTGTTGGGATTACTGTCCCCTCCAAAGTCACTCAAAAGTTTGTCCTACTTTAACAGGAACAAACATAAGAATTACTTTCTCCCATTTTCTTTTTTATGATGTTAAAAAATAACAATCAAGTGTGAAATTTTGGCATGGATTTTCCAAATATCAAGGGTTTGGCTTGAACTAATTTTTTTGGTATATTAAATAGTCTGCTATGTTAACTGGAAGTTTTCTGCCCTGATGCTTTGAGATTTATTTTAGGATTCTTTTCTCAGTCACATCTTACACCTAGATATGCATAACCAAAGATAAGATTTGTAATTTAATTAGATGGCCTCTTATTGATTTCCTAAGATTAGCTTAATTAGTCAAGTGTGTCAATCTCTAATATGTACATCCCAGTCAGATAGATCTTTTCAAAGATATTCTATCTGGCTGGATTCATACATGAACTATCTAACTATTAACTATATAATGCATCAACTATATAACACTGATATATATATATATACACACACATACTTAGGCATATTTCAAGTTAAAGCAGTAAGGCAGAATTTGACATAAAGCCATAAAAAATATTTAGTATGAAAATAGAAAGTCTTCCTATGTGAAACAAACATGACATGCAATTTCCTCCAATATTTTATTATGAAACACTTTAAACAAACAGAAAAATTAAAAGAATTTTACAGTGAACACTCATTTTACAGTCAACACTAATATGCCCACTACCTAGATTCTACCATTAACATTTTACTATGCCTGCTTCGTCATACATTTCTCCACTTATTTATCAATAAAATCTTCTTATTTTTTGGATGTATTTCAAAATAATTTCTAGACAGCCAGAAACTTTCTCCTAAAAACAGTACTTCAGAATATATATGTTAACTTGAGTTCAGTATTTGTTTAGAGTTATGTTTTATTTTGAATATACAGTTAAAGCACTAATGAGGCCGGGCATGGCGGCTCACGCCTTAATCTCAGCACTTTTGTAGGCTGAGGTGGGTGGATCACCTGAGCTTGGGAGTTCGAGACCAGTCTGGCCAACATGGTGAAACCCCGTATCTACTAAAAATACAAAAATTAGCCGGATATGGTGGTGGGTGCCTGTAATCCCAGCTACTCAGGAAGGTTGAGGCAGGAGAATCACTTGAACCCGGAAGGCGGAGGTTGCAGTGAGCCAAGATTGTGCCACTGCACTCCAGCCTGGGCGACAGAGTGAGACCCTGTCTCAAAAAAAAAAAAAAAAAAAAAAAAAAAAAAAAAAAAAAGAAAGAAAGAAAGAAAAGAAAAGAAAAAAGAAAAAAAAGGCACTCATGTTAAGTAGGACCATTTGGTGAATTTAAAGAAAGTATAGTATTATCTATAGGCATTATGCCATACAGTAGATTTCTAGGACTTACTCATTTTGCATAATGGAAGTTTTGTACCCTTGACTTACACTTCCCCATTATCCCTTTCCTCCAGGCCCTGGTAACCCCCATCCTACTCTCTACTGCTATGAAGTTGAGTATTTTAGATTCCACATATAAGAGAGTTTATATGAGGTCATACAGTATTTCTCTTTCTGTGTCTTGTTTATTTTGCTAGGCATAATGTCCTCCAGCTCTATCTATATTGTCACAAATGGCAGTATTTCTTTTTTTTTAAGGGCTGAATAATATTCCATTATATATGTGCATATTTACCACATTATCTTTTTTTTTTTTTTTTTTGACACGGAGTCTTGCTCTGTGCCCCAGGCTGGAGTGCAGTGGCGCAATCTCGGCTCACTGCAAGCTCCGCTCCCCCGGGTTCACGCCATTCTCCTGCCTCAGCCTCCCGAGTAGCTGGGACTACAGGCGCCCGCCACCTCGCCCGGCTAATTTTCTTGTATTTTTAGTAGAGACGGGGTTTCACCGTGTTAGCCAGGATGGTCTCGATCTCCTGACCTCATGATCCGCCCGTCTCGGCCTCCCAAAGTGCTGGGATTACAGGCTTGAGCCACCGCGCCCGGCCGTACCACATTATCTTTATCCTTTCATTAGTTGAGAGAAATTTAGGTTCCTTCCATGTTTTGGCTATTGCGAATAATGTTGCAATGCTGCAATAAACATGAGAGTGCAGGTATCTCTTTGAGATACAGATTTCAATACCTTTGGGTATATTCACAGAAGTGGCATTTCTGGGTCATATGGTAGTTATTTTGTTTTTATGTTTGTGGATATCCAATTTTCCCAGTACAATTTATTGAAGAGACTATCTTTCCTCATTGCATATCCTTAGCACCCTTGGACAGGCAGTTGACCATCTATGTATTCATTTATTTCTGGGCCCTCTATTCTGTTTCATTGGACCATATGTGTGTTTTTATGCCAGTTTCATACTGTTTTTATTATGGTAGCTCTGTGATATATTTTGAAATCAGGAAGTGGCATGCCTTTAGCTTTGTCCTTTTTGCTCAAAATTACTTTAGCTATTCGGAGTCTTTTGTGGTTCCATATGAATTTTTACATTTTTTTTCTGTTCCTGTGAAAAATCATTGAGATTTTGATAGGGATTGCACTGA